GCCACTTTCGCGCGTCAAATCTCCTTCATGGCGGGAAAATTAATTGCTTCTCTGGTCACAATAACGTTGTCGTTACTTAATGGATGTATGTTCGTGTGTGTGTACGTGTGTGTGCGCTTGTGTGTGCGCTTGTGTGTGTGCGTGTATCTATATACCTGTGTATATCTGTGTGTGTGTGTGTCTGTTTGTCTGTGTGTGCGCACGTGTGTGTGTGTCTACGTGTGTGCGTGTGCGCGTGTGCGTATATCCGTATGCCTGTGTATTATATCTGTGTGTGTGCGTGTGTGTGTCTGTGTGTTTACTGGTGTGTGTAATGTGTGTTGTATTTTTTTTTGTATCTTTACGTTTTGTTCACTCATTCGTAATGTTAATTCTATCAAGAGTCTTTGTTCTATTGGGAAATTTGTTACCGTTAATAAAATATTCTATTTATTTAAATTTATAGAAACAATAGGAAGTATTTATTAAGAAGTTAAAAGTTCGCCTGGTTCATTTTATTTCAAATTGTTCTTTTGTTCGCCTATCCACTATTTTGTTCGTTTATTTAAAAATTTTTCATTCATTCATTCATTCATTCATTCATTCATTCATTCATTCATTCGTTCGTTCGTTCGTTCGTTCGTTCGTTCCTTCATTCATTCATTCCTTCATTCATTCATTCATTCATTCATTCATTTCATCTTTAGTTCCTTGTCTTTTTAATTTCTAGTATTTCGTCCGTCCATCCATTCATCTACAGACTCGTTCATTAACTTATTCGTTCGATCATTAATTAAATAATTAGTCAATTAATTAATTCATTCATTTATTCATTCACTCATTCATTCATTCATTCAGTATCCGGTTTTGAGCCATCCTTCGATGTTCCTATACTCAATGTCACGGTAATAACAGGCCAAGTAGCATTACTACCTTGCTCGATTGATCACCTCGGAAAACATAAGGTATGTATGTTTGTATGTTTGTTTGTTTGTATGTTTGTTTGTTTGTATGTTTGTATGTTTGTTTGTTTGTTTGTTTGTATGTTTGTTTGTTTGTTTGTATGCGTGTTTGATGCATGTGTATTTATGCGTATGTGTGTTTGTTTTGATGGTATGTATGTTGTACGTTTGTTTGTATACAAACACATACATACATACATACATACAAACAAACAAACAAACACACACACATACAAACACACAAACTCGTCAGTTATCATTTAGGTTGAAAATGCAATTTTTTTTATAGATACCAACGACTGTACTAAAAACTTCTGAAAAAAAATAATAACAATAATAATAATAAACAACAACAATAATAATAATAAACATTAATAATAATAATAAATTACGATAATAATAAG